ATAAGTGTTCTGATCTTACCTTTGCGTTTACACCTTGTATTTTTAATGCGTTCTCGTTATCCACATTGAGTTCGGATCTCTGTCCTCCAGAAAAAAAATGACAAAAAAAATTACGTTTGGCAGGTACGAATGCCATCACGTCGTACGGTTTGCGTTTACACCTGGTAAAGATCTGAACACAATGCGAGCCAGACTACCTCCAGATGTGGTCAGGCAGATCCGATCACAAAGTATTTACACCTTGCATTAACATGCGTTTTTTTATTATCAGGATAACTTATCTGGATACAGATCGCATTTTAAAGGAACACTCCGACTTTTTGGGACTTTAGCCTATTCACCTTATCCCCCAGAGTTAGATAAGTCCATACATACCTTTTTCATCTCCGTGCGTGCTATAAGTCTGTTTGACGCACCCACCGCTAGCCTAGCTTAGCACAAAGACTGGATGTAAATGGTTGCAGCTAGCATACTAATCCAAATAAGTGACAAAATAACGGAAACATTTTCCTATTTACATGTTGTGATTTGTATAGTCACAGAGTGTACAAAAAACAAAGTCATATGAGACACAGACATATTTTAACCATATAAATACTGGGAACTATATTCTCTGAAGGCGAAGCACTGCTACTTGGGCGGAGTGATAACCGCAGCACCTGAGACGCGCTCTCACCACGGCTCGTCTCAGGTGCTGCGGTTATCACTCCGCCCAAGTAGCAGTGAAAAAGGTATGTATGGACTTATCTAACTCTGGGGGATAAGGTGAATAGGCTAAAGTCCCAAAAAGTCGGAGTGTTCCTTTAATACCAGGTGTACATGGGGTCTAAATTATGTTTTATTAACAAGGTTCGGGAGGAGCAGGTGTAGATAATTAACCCAATTAGCACAAGTGGAGTTCAATCTGTAATCAACTCAGAATAGGATAAATAACAGCAGAACCCACCTTTGTTCCTTGACAGTTTATCAATTATTATAAATCAGGGGTGTCCAAACTCGATCCTGGAGGACCACTGTTCTGCAGAGTTTAGTTCAAACTTACCTTCTACAAACATGCCTGGAAGTTTCTATGCCTATAAGACCTTGATTAGCTGGTTCAGGTGTGTTTAAATGAGCTGAACTCTTCAGGACCGTCAGGCCCTGCAAGGAGCAGGACTGGACAGTGGACACCCATGAACTAAACCCTAGTCACATGACTCACTAAGTCATCAATATCACTAAACTTATGACAACTGTTTTAGTCTTTATTTAAAAAATATTTTGCCATAAAGTTTCAATTAAAATAATTTGCAAACACAATGAGGTTACGAAAGCAATCTAGTAAGTAGATGAGCTTACCTGTTCTGCATGATGATGTTTTTTGTCCCCGACAAGCTCTGTAGGTTGGCAATAAGTAAAGGTTGGTATTACAGATGTTTTTTTTTTTGATGTTCTAGAACAAAACGTAAAAATATCTTCAGCTTGTAAACCACAGACCTTATTTCAGGTGTTTAACCAAAAACCTGAACCCAACTTCAGTACGAGGGAACCAGAAGTACTAAAATGCTAACTTGTTTCCAGGTTTTCCTCTATAGCACCTCATGCGGCAACGCTGAGAATGCAACGTGTAGCCTACTTGTGTGAAATCGAGCTTTTGTAGCAAGATGTGTCTGCGTTCATGTACTTACATGGTTCAAACATTTAAACAATTTAAAATGAATAACCCTTCAGTAAAGGACAATGTTTTACTTTAAAGAGCTGAAACTAACAGAAGATTATACATTTGGTGTTAAAAACAAAACAAAAACAAAACTTCATTTTCACATGAAAATGATAAAGTACTGATTAAGGACACATGGGCAACTATGTATTTTTATCCTTGAGCAAATGGCTTTGTTTGCACAAGAGGCCCATATAAGTCTGCGCCAAGAAATGAATAATATCACAGCGTTCACAAGCAGCCTTCAGCATTATTTGCCTCTTTGTGCATCCATATCATGTGTGGGTGGGCTCCGGTGGGTGTCAAGCGTCCAGTGAATCATAGAGATTCATTTAGATACGGAGAGCTGTCCAATCATAAGGTCACAGGATGGGCGCCTCTCTTCCCACAGCCACAAACGGCAGCTTCTCTGAGCGGGTCGATAGTAAACACAGTGTGCAATAAATGTCACATAGCACAACAATTAAAAATAACCAGCAGAATAACATTGTCGCACAGCTTTTTACACATTCAGTTTTTTATATTTAAACAATCAGTTCTGAACGAAAGCTGTGAAATCCACAGAGTCATTATGGAAATGGTGGTAGTTCTCTCTCTCTCTCTCTCTCTCTCTCTCTCTCTCTCTCTCTCTCTCTCTCTCTCTCTCTCTCTCTCTCTCTCTCTCTCTCTCTCTCTCTCTCTCTCTCTCTCTCTCTCTCTCTCTAATGTGTCTGCAATGGCTTTCTATACGCCTCCAAACCCATCTGAGTGTAAGCCCGAGCGTAGGAGGAGGCGACGTAGGGCAGTGGGGAGTGTAGTTGATATGTTAGTGCTTGCTATGATCTTAATAGTTAACGTTTATTTATAACACTCAGAAAAGGGTATCTGAATGTCACATGAGCATGATACGGCACTGGGAAGGGACACTTTGGAATTTTAATGTATGTTTAGCATATGCAGTCTGTGTGTGGAATTAGAGCATAAATGACATTATAAAGAGGCACTTAAACCTCTTTAGCTTATGTTGGATAAAACCAATGGTCCTAAGGTCAGGTTCAAAGACCTGGTGTTGTTTAACTATATTGAATAAACTCTTTTTCTTTCATTATTTGTTCACCCTCGTGCTGTTCTAAACTTGCATGTCGTTATTTTTTCATTAGAATATTAGAAGAATCGCCACACAGCTCTTTTCCATCCAACTGAAGTTCAAAGTGTCTTTCAAACTCCAAAAATGACAAAATACATTAAAAAGTATCATAAAAGTAGTCTATGGCATGCTCTATATTCCAAGTCATAGGAAAGTTATATAATAACTGTGTCAAAAGCAGTAATCAGTGAACAATAACTTAAATTTCGGTCTGTCCCCCACACATACTTGTCATATTGATTCATAAAATAGACATATGGACTACTCTATGGTAAGATTTTTTTTTTTACCTTGTGGACATATAACTTTGGAAAGGCATATAAGTTTGGAATGACTTGAGGATGAGTAAATAATGAACTTTTCATTTTAGTTGAACAATCCCTTTAGTTCAGGGGGGGGGGGGGGGGTGTGAATAAAATAACCTTTATTCTCAGTACCTGTGTGTGTGTGTGTGTGTGTGTGTGTGTGTGTGTGTGTGTGTGTGTGTGTGTGTGTGTGTGTGTTTGTCTTTTGGGTGGATGGGTAAAGGGGTGGTTGGGAGGGAATTTATCAATGGTTAAATAGTCCAAACAGTGGTGCATTAACAGTATAATAATATATCAAAAATGACAATCTGGATAATGAACATTCAGTTTTAGGGCAGATGATCATGTCATGTTGAATATTTGTGTAATATTTAAAAAAAATGCCAATAAACAAGAACCGTACTACGGAGCCCCTAAAGCAGGGGTCTCAAACTCAAATTAACTGGGGGCCGCTGGAGGTGGAGTCTGGGTCAGGCTGGGCCGCATCAAGTATTCCACAAAAAAATAGTATTCAAGTATTCCAAAAAAGGAGCACAACTGATCCAATCTTCTCAATATTTATTAACGTTTCTTCTGAACAGTTCCTCTGAATTTGAACATTCCTTTCTGTACATGATTGGTTCTTCATGAGCTGTCCTTCTGACAGTTGAAGTTCATTTTACAAACTTTCTTTGTCTATAACACATATTTGTGATATTTATATTTGCTTATGTCCTTTTTATTTTCTTTATACAACACATTAATGATATTGAATGTTTTTTTTGGAAGGCACATTTCCTTTTATTATACTTAGAAAAACAATTACTGCTTTTGAAATACAAATATTTGCAGTCATGTCTGCCCGTCTTATTGAATTCTTTGTATAGTGTCTCAAATTACTGACTGCACAAATCAAAGCAAACCTTCTTATGAACCTGTTGGACACATATTACAAGCTCAAAGTGATTATTCTCACATTGTTTTAGAGCAGGGTCTCTCTCCAACACGTCGCTCGCGAGCTACCAGTAGCTCGTGGCCTGATTGGTGGTAGCTCGCCAAGGGGCCGTTCACATATCGCGCTCACATATTTTGCGCGCTCAAGTTCGTAATTTCAAATGTAGGCGCGCGGCAAGCGCGCTCATAATTGAAGCGACGCGCTCATTTTTTCCAGGCGCAGTATGTTTGTACTTCGCGGTTGTCTATGACAACTATTGACAACAAACCCTCCGTAAGCTGTCACGAGACTATCTATGGTAGCTCATAAGGGATACATTTTTTTTTTTTTCGCGGCACACGCAACGACGGGCCGCACTAACATTAAACTTTAATGTTAAGTAGGGGGCCACAAAATATCACCCCGCGGGCCGCAAATGGCCCGCGGGCCGCGAGTTTGAGACCCCTGCCCTAAAGGGACCTTTGCAAAAAAATATATATATATACAGACTTTCACGTGCTCACGAGAAATACATTTTTATTTTTGCAAAGGTCCGTTTAGGGGCTCCGTACTAAACTGATAGACAGCACAAAACTGTATAGTATAACAATGCGATTCAATTGAATTTGAAAACCTGTTTGCAGCAGATTTCAGTTAGTGTAGACTACTTTTACAAGTAAGGCAAAAAAAACACACATATTTTAAAATATATTTACAGAAAACAACAATCTGATGTAGGAATTTGTATGGTATATAATTACCTACCTGTTTACATGTACAAAATCTCCATTATTTTATCACATATTAATATGCTACAAGTCTCACTAAGTACGCTTACATGCACAGTTATAATCAAGCAAAAGTCCATGTAAATGTACTTACTGATCTAGTGCCCAGTCGTAGCCATGGATTCATTGCATTGATCAAATAAATTTAGAAAAAGGCACATAAATGTATCACATATTGTGGTGCTGGTCTCATATAGGTTATGATACCATGGAATGGTGTGAAAACCCATTGTAAAACCCATTGTGATTTTTTTTTTATGTTCTGTTTCAAAGTTGTGCACTTCCATATCTTTAAGTCTAATTACTAGAAGGAAACTTCATAGTAAACTCAGACATTAAGACAAATTGATAGACTCCAGGAAAGAAAGTAACTACAAACTGAACAGATCTCAGGGAGGCAGGTACAATAATACTATTTTTCCAGCTGACACCAATCACAAGTTTACAAGTAGCTGATCTCCAGAGAGGCGTTCTTTTCCACCGGTTCCTCTGGCAGTGTTTTCACATTCCCATTTTTGGCCCCATTCAGCAAGGTTGCAGCAAGCCCAAATCCCGGTCCTTTACCAACAGCATCCCCACCCGTGCCTCTCCTGTCTGGCGAACACGTCTCAGAAACCCCTGTACCCGAGGGTCGCTCTAAGAATAGGGCTCGGGTACTTTCAGGTTGTCCGCTTCCGTTTCCATTCTGAGTAATCCTGCAAATTTCCGTCATCTCCGTCACTTCCTCCCTGTCCTCTTCTTCTTCCTCATCCTCTTCATTTCTCACTGCTCTTCTAAGGCTTTCCCTGGGCATCAGCGCTCTTCTTCGTTCTTCCTGATGCTGCTGCTGTTCGGTGGGCTCGTGGTTCTCGACCCTTCGAGATGAGCGGCATAGGGCCTTCCGGAAACCCCGCTTGAAGTTGTCCGAAAGGAAGCCATAAACTATAGGGTTAGCGCAGCTGTTAGCATAAGAAAGTACCACTACGAATAGATGCAGTCCCTGCGGCTCGTCACGGAGAGATTCCACCAGGTTTATGATGTTGAGGGCGTAAAAAGGCATCCAGCAAAAAACAAACACAGCCACCACTATCACCACCATTCGTGTGACCTTTCGCTCCGACTTGCGGCGCTTGGTTGACGTGGCATGAACCTTCTTTCCAGAGCTGCGGATCTTGATCACAATGAGGAGATAGCACATGCAGATGACTAGCAAGGGAAAGAAAAAGCCTACTGTGGAGGTGTAAATGATAAATGCTGCTCCCCAGATGTTGGCTGGCTCCGGCCATATGATATTGCAGATTCCTCCTTCCCGTTGCACGTTTGCAAAAATCACCACAGGCAAGACCACCAAAAAGGAGACAGCCCAGATTGTTCCATTCACAGCCTTGGCCACCTGTGGTCGCCTCCATTTAGAGGACCGAATAGGATGAACCACGGCCAGGTAACGATCGATGCTCATTACAGTAAGGCAGAAAATGCTGGTAAACTGGTTAATGCCGTCGACGGTCATGACCAATCTGCACGTGAATGAGCCAAAGGGCCACGAGTGCATGGCATTCTGCACGGCGAGGAATGGAAGGCCCAGCATGAAGAGCTCATCAGCTATAGCTAGATTCAGGATGTAGATGTTGGTCACTGACTCTGTCTTGGAGTAATGCAGGACGATGTGAATGACCAGAGAGTTTCCTCCCAGACCGACGACACAGACGATTATGTAAATGAGAGGGATGAGGATTCCTGCCATGCTTGTTACTGCTCGGTTCTCCGGATCTGTCTCATTGGTGCAGTTTGAAGAATTGAGGAAACAGGTGTCATTGAGAACGCTCTCGTTAAAGAGGAAACCAGGAATGGAGAGGTTGCCCCATAAGCCCAGCGCAGCAGAGGCGTCTGTTGAGGTCAGCTCCATCTCACTCTCTTGCCGTCACTGCCTTCAGCTGGGGGCCATTGTCCTGCACAGAGAACAACCACAAACTATCATTTCTCTCTCAATGCACTCTCACATTCAATAAATGCATAATCTACAGACAAAAGCATCATTGTTAGCAAGTTTGTTTCACACTGTTTTTGCAAATCTGAATATAGCTTACTAAGTGAAAACATACAATACTAGATCAGTGGTTCTCAACATTTCTGACCTCAAGACCCAAGACAATATTCAAAGGACCACATTTATTTGAAGCCAAACATGACAATGATGCCTTTTGAAATTTCATTTAAACATGAAATCTGTTTTGAGATTTAAACTTTTTAGAAAAAAAAGAAAAAAAAATGTAGCCTATATATTTATGAGAAAATGTGAAATATTAGGGGGGAATGCAAGATTGCTGCAAATGAGACCTAAAATAAGCAAGACCAGACAGGATTAAATTCATAGCAGGAACGTGTGCACCGCTCCGCAGGAGTGGGCAGGTGTTGAATGAAACTTGTAGTAGTAGTAATTTGATATGAGTAATTTCCAGGTCTGGATGAGTATGGGGAAACACACTGATTGTCGAAAACACAATTGAATAAGTTCATTATTTATTATGCAAAGTTCTTTGTCTTCTACCATTTCTCTTTTTTTTTTTCACCTCCACCCCCCCTCTTCGGAGGGCAACTTTTTTTTTTTTTTTTTTTTACTTTAGACTGGTAACTGATAACGAGTTTGTGCTGAGTGCAGGCCACTGAGCTGGTCTACAGACTGGTACTGGGAATGTGCTGAATGCAAACTGCTGGGCTGGGACACAGACTGAGAGCTGGTTTATGCTGACTGCAGGCCACTGAGCTAGTCTACAGACTGGTAACGTGAATGTGCTGATTGCAAACTGCTGGGCTGGGACACAGACTGAGAGCTGGTTTATGCTGACTGCAGGCCACTAGGATGGTCCACAGACTAGTAGCCAGTTTGTGCTACATGCAGACCACTGAGATCTAGTCCACAAACTGTGAGCTGGCTTAAGCTGGTTGTTGAATGCCAGACTGGTCCACAGTTTGTAAGCTGGCTTGGGCTAGTTTTTGGATGCCGGACTGGACCGCAGATTATGAGCTGACTTGGGCTGGTTTATTGGATACTAGACTGGTCTGCCGATTGTAAGCTGGTATATGATGGTTGTTAAATGCCAGATTGATCCACAGACCGCAAGCTGCCTTGGGCTGGTTGTTGAATGCCATCCCAGTCCACAAATTGTGAACAGACTTGGGCTAGTTGTTGAATGCCATACTGGACCACAGACCGTAAGCTGACTTGGGCTAGTTGTTATATGCCACACTGGTCCACAGATTGTGAGCTAGCTTGGACTAGTTGTTAGATGCCGAACTAGTCCACAGATTGTGAGCTGGCTTAGGCTGGTTGTTGGATGCCAGACTGATCCACATACTGTGAGCTGGCTTAAGCTGGTTGTTGAATGCCAGACTGGTCCACAGATGGCGAGCTGACTTGGGCTGGTTGTTTAGGTGCCAGACTGGTCCGCAAGCTGTGAGCTGACTTTGGCTGGCTGTTGGATGCCGGGCTGGTCCACAAATTGTGAGCTGATTTGGACTGGTTGTTGGATGCTAGACTGGTCCACAGACTATGAGCTGACTTGGGCTGGTTATTGGATACCAGACTTGTCTACAGGTTATGAGCTTACTTGGGCTGGTTGTTGAATGCCAGACTAGTCCACAGACTGTGAACTGGCTTGAGATGGTTATTGGATGCCAGACTTATCCACATACTGTGAGCTAACTTGGGCTGGTTGTTAGATGCCAGACTGGCCTACCGATTGTGAGCTGTCATGGGCTGTTTGTTGAATGCAAGACTGGTCCACAGACCGTGAGCTGACTTAGGTTGGTTGTTGGATGCCCGACTGGTCCACAGATTGTGAGCCGGCTTGGGTTGGTTGTTGGATGTCGGATTAGTCCACAGATTATGAGCTAGCTTGGGCTAGTTGTTGGATGCCAGACTAGTCCACAGATTGTGAGCTGGCTTAGCCTGGTTGTTAAATGCCCGACTGATCCCGACTGATCCACAGACTGTGAGCTGGTTTGGGCTAGTTGTTGAATGCCAGATAGGTCCACAGGTTGTGTGCTGACTTGGGCTGGTTGTTAGATGGGCTGGTTGTTTCATTTCTCTTTTAAACTTTACTAAACTTTACAGCAATCGGCATTCATCTAAATCAGACTGTACTTTGTGTCCGATGTGTCAGAGGTCAATGTATGGAGTTTTTAGGTTTCTTCACAGACATCTGTGCTGCAGTGTAAAATAAAATGAGAGAGTGTGAAAAAAAGAGTGGTGCATTTTCATCGGAGTAAGAAATATGTTCAGTTTACATGTTGAACACCTTGATTTTAGAGTTTTTTTATTTTAATTAAATCAGATATATTACATAGAAATTATTATTATTATTACTATAATTAAATATTATTGTATATAATGATCATGGAAATGCAATTATATATTACCATATAATTCCAGGTTTAAGACTATACCTTGAAAGTTACTTTCCAGAGATGCCCTGGTTGAGAACTACTGGACTCAACATTGGTCAAAATACATGAAAAGGGATTGCAGAGGAAATTTCATCGTAAAAACACTCACATGACTCACAGGGTTTTGGATGGTGTTATTTTTGTCCCTTAGGCAATCAGGCATGCCAATTATCCAGTGTATGGGTGATGCTCAGTAGAGAAAAGTCTGCCTCAGCAGTACCTTGCTGAACCATTAAAATGGAAGCATCACAAAACATTAGCACTGCATAGACTTGAAATATGGAAAAACAAATAAGCACAGTGACTACTAAATTCTAAAGCAAAGCATGATGGAACAGAAGCAAGGTTTTCTCTGCTGGGAATAGTAATTTAAAACAACATTATTAAAATAGAATGAATGAATAAAGGATGAGAGATGCACTTCATGTCAGACAGGAAACAATTGCAATTATGCAATGAGACTGACTCTGCCCTATATATTTGTGTTTGGCTTGTCTTGGTGTATACATTCACTCTTCAGACAGTTCAAACACTGCAGTGCACTCCCACATGTGGCGTATGCACTACGGCTAATAATTGACATTTTATTAACTATCATGCCCACTGGGACTCAGAACTGACTGAGCAGATGATTAGAAGCCCATTCACAGTCGGTCAATGCTCGTGGCACGTGGTGCATATTTATTCTGAGGATATAGGCTACTGAATACTGTCCTTGGTTATCTTTAAACGCTAGTTCAATAAAAAAATTCAATTCTCTCATCATTCACTCAAGAAAGAAATGCATACAGGTTTGGAACAGGATAAGGTTGAGTATTTGCCCATATTATACTGTATACTATAGTCTTTAACAGTATGAGATCAGATTAGGTTGGATCAGGTGATGCAGTCTAATGTTCCACATCTCTTTGTTTGAAATAGAAAAGCCTGTTATTTTAGATATCCACACCTGCCTCTCTCCATTTCTATTTAATCTCTCTCACACACCTTCCCAATTACAACTAGAGAATATATGGAAGATAAATTGACTCTGGACCACTGCAGCACTCATACAGAGAGACAGGGGGAAACATGCTGAGAAAAACTGCCATCATCATGCTCTATATTGAGGTTTAAAGTAATATAGGCTGCCATAAGTTAAGTTTAAAATGGGAGACACTGTATACCAGCAATAACTCACTTTATATCAAACAACAATTTTTTTAATTATTAAATTATTAACCTGTTTTGTTTTTAGAATTGAGAAATGTCTAAAATATGCATTGAAAATTACTGTGCTTCATTCTTTAAAGCTCCCTGCTATTGAAAGCAGAAGATTTTGAAACATTTCAGAATAGAGTCTTCTAATGACGTCATAATGAAAGCTAATTCATAATATTAGAAAATATTCAGAAAATATTTATATAGTTACAAAGATTTGTCCCCCAAAACAGATGAAAGTAGTATTCAGTGCCATGTTGAAAATGAATGTAGAAAAGAATAAAAGTGCAGGTCAAACAAAGAGAATAATAAGTGAAAAGAGATAAAAGCAAGAGAAGAAAGGCTGTGATCTTTTAAGTCCCTGACATTCATACGGCTCCACGCGCGTAACCTGCATGATTAAATAGCTATCCAAACCATCAAAAACATTTTTCTGGCTCCAGTTTTGCTTAAAAAAACTTCTCAGATGATCAAATGATTGATTTCATTAAGACGAAGTGTGCAAGCAGCGCTTTTTGAAGTATTTTGAAGTTAATTGAGTGTTTTAAAGTTACATGGATGAAGAATTAGACATGAAGGTAGAAAAAAAACTTTATGATTTATAATGACTTTGCACCACAGGCTGATTTTGAAGCAAAGCAAAGAAACTTTTTGTTTAAGCTTAGATGTCTACCATTTATTGTCTATTTACATGATCTTTACTATATTGTTGAAATGGAGTGTGACAAGCCATCAGACTCAGAAGTCAGTTCTTTTTAATATCACTTAAAGGTGGGGTAAGCGTTATTTGAAAAACGCTGTTTGGAAGTTAGTCGGACCGACAGTCGAACAAACAAGAAACGTGTGTAGCCAATGAGCATTAGGGGGCTTATGATGGTGGAGGAGAGAGAACCAGCAAGAGATTTGAAGAAAGACTGCAGAAATAGATATGAGACACAATACAAAAGAGAAAAGCTCAGAAGAAATCGTCGGAAAATGAAGGGTTATGACTGGGCAAGAGCTTTAGGACCTGCGTTAATATTATAAAAGCTTTCCAGCACTGAGAGAGCTAAGCGGGAAGGCCTGAAAACAGACTCGTAGCTTGCTTTGATTTTCTCCACACGTGAGTAACACTGGGTTTGAGTGTCATTGTTTGTCTGGAGCTGCTGTGCTGTTGTCAACTAATAACAAACTTTGTGTACTGTACGTACATTTTTTTGTGGTTCCTTGTCATTCGTTCATCATCTGCACTTTATTTTTCGTGAAGGATTATTTTGTTGCGCTTCGGCTATGATAAGCAGACATTCACTCTTGGATTGCGTGC